GGTGATAAGTAATATTTCAAGAGTCTGATATGTAGCTAGGAATGAGAACTACTGATCTTACAGTGTTAAACCTGTAAAGAAACCTGGTCTAACAGTCCTTGAACCATTTTAAAAATAGTAAAACAGACCCTTCTCCAGGAAGAAGAATCTTGCTTGAGGTCCATGGATAGATAGAAATGGAGATAGGACCCGGGTCTTCTGATTCTCTAGACTATTTCTCTTATATCACAGTATTCCAATCTGTAGTCTTAAAATTCTCCCTTTATTGATGGCACCAAAAATATGTTGTAGAAGAACATCGTCATTCTTACTTCTCTTAATCCCAGACATTAGAGGTATGCTACCTAATTCCGATGCTTCTCTTAGTAACTCAATTCAGAGCCCAATTTGACATTCTCCATATTTGTAGCCTTCTAAACTTTATACACATTCTGTCCTCTTTCAGCTTTTTTTCTCTTCAAGTTGAAGACTGTTAGTTTTGGTCTGTCTTCACATGATTCCCCTGCGTCCTACCCCAGCTGTCTGCTTGGTTATTGGACCTTCTTTCTTCCCCCACTCTAATACCTTGAATGAAGACTCTTTCTTGAGTTACTTTTTAATGCTAAGCATCCACTAGGCCTTATAGTCATCGTTGCTGTTTTGGATTACAGTCTTCTTGATTTACCGGGATGAACAATCAGAAGAAAAGAAAACATATGGGACTTGCTTGTACCTGGTATTTATTGTCTGGAGAGAATGGTGAGTAACTGAATGAAGTAAGAGAGGGTATATACTAGGTAAGCCTATTCATTCTCTTTCTCCTGTTTCTTTTGCTCATGCTCTTTGAGATTCTTCTGAAACTTTAAATTTTTGTTAGATGTGAATTACATGGATACAGTATTTACCCATTAATCTCTTGAAACTGTCTCCACAATTTTTGTGTTGGCTAAAATAAGGATAAAGAAAGACAGAGAAGAGGCAACTGTGGTTTCTGTTGTTTTCCATAACCCCCAAAACATTTACAATTATAAAAGACTCCAAGTCTCTTTTTGTAATGTAACCATAGCTTTTCACAGGACACAGCACAAAAGAACTAAGAGTGAAGATTGCTGGTGTCCTTCCTCTTGTGGCTGATTCCTGAAATCTAAGGAATGTTTAGTTGTGGGGAATAGAAACCAGTTATACTCAACAGACCACTTACTTGCCTGTTTGTTTCTGTGACAATCTAAAGTCTGCCCATCCAGACCCTGCTTCCTCCCATTCACCTGTTAGCACCCATCTAGTCACAGCTTCTTCCCAACTCTGTCTCACTCTTGCTTTTAAAAGTGGGCAAGTAGTAAAAAATTATAGGAATGTGGAGTTGTGTGTGTGCTTGTATATTCTTATTTATATATCTATATGTAAAGTATCTGGATTGTGTGTATATGTATTTGAATATAAGTCATCATCTATATCTTATATATCTATCAAACGAATACTCAGCAATGCCCTATTGTTTCTCATTAACAAGTTAGGCTCAATGGAAGCTTCAACAGAAGCAAGAGAGTAATATTCAGTGGAAAGCAAAATAGCAGATAACAGTGACTTCAAATAATGTATGTATCTTTAAGTTCACACCTAACATTTTCTTTATTGATGATTTAAATTAAAATATCCACACATAAATGTATGTGTAAGGGAAATTCTTTTTTTTTTTTTTTTTTTTAAGCTATAGGGTATCACTTTGTCAGTCAGGCTGGAGTGCAGTGATGCAATCACAGCTCACTACAGCCTTGACTTCCCAGGCTCAAGTGATCCTCTTGCCTCAGCCTCCCAAGTGGCTGGGAACACAAGTGCACACCACTACACCTGGCTAATTTTTAAATTTTTTTGTAGAGACAGGGTCTCCCTGTGTTGTCAAGGCTGGTCTCAAACTCCTGGGCTCAAGTGATCCTCCCACCTTAGACTCCCAAAGCACTGGGATTATAGGTGTGAGTCACTGTGCCCAGCCGGGAAATTCTTATGTTTCATTTTATGTTGCATATTAGCTATAAAACAACTTTGTGGTTAAGTTAGAAAAGATGTGAGATGATTTACTTTCTTTGTTGTATTTCTGTTTGGGGAATAGCATGAATGGCTGTTGCAGTGTGGCAAAATTTCTGTATATTTCAGGTTTTGGTATAAAGATGTATTTGTGCTATTCCTAACGCTTTCTCCCACAGTTGCTTCAAGTTCCCGGCTTCATTTTCATGTAAAGAGCTTGCAGGTAGATGCCTTTTCTATTTTACTCTCTTTTTCTGTTTTGAGAATAGTGTCTTCCAAGAACCCAGCTACCCATCCCTGCCACATGCCCACCCCCCCAACACTCCTCTCTAATTTTTCCCTCTAATTCACTGGGGCCATAGTCATTGCTCCTTTTGGCATCTATGAAGCCATCAACTTTCACGACAAATAGGGCTTCTATAGCATATAGAATATATTCAAATAGCTGTTCAAATACTGGGAGAATCACTGGTGGTGGGAGTCAAGAACTAGATGTAGAAACTTTCATTCCAAGAAAAGACCAGTCGTCTTCTGGAATTAACTGGATCAGGGCCAGCAAACTATAGCTAGTGAGTCAAACCCAACCAGTTGCCTATTTTTATTAATAAAGCTTTATTGGAATACAGCTGTTTGTTTACATATTATCTATGGCTACTTTCACAGTAAGATGGCAGAGTTTAGTAATTGCAACAGAGACCAAAAAGCCTAAAGTGTTTAAGAAATTTTACAGAAAATGTTTGCTAACCCTTATCTAGATTAGCATTCCCAGAACTGAGTTCTAGGAACAGTTTTGCAATAATTAATAACTATGCTGTTAGATAAGGGTTCTGTAGTCATTTAAAACCAGAAAACATTGTGTTAAAATAAAGTTAAACACCCTTTTCCAACTGTAGGAGAGTTAAAGAATGTTTCATTTGCTAGTACAAGAGCCTTTCATATGCTAATAAGCATTGAGAAACTCTAAGAGACTAGAGGGTGCACTCCCCTCAACTTATTTGACCACAGGACACCTTTTTTTCACAGCTCTTCTATTAATATCTTACAGACAGTTTTCCAGGGAACACTGATTTGGGAAATGCTAGCATAGACAGTCACTTAACAGAAGTTTGTACTTGATGTCACTTACTAGCATTGGACAAATTACCTAAAGCCATGTAAAGCAGCATTGACTACATAATTTGTGGGATACAGTCCAAAACGAAAAATGCAAAACCTCTTGGTCAAATATTAAGGTTTTCAAGACAGCAACAGCAGAGCGCTAAACCAAGTATACATCCTTCTGAGCATGGAGATCTGTGTGGCTGCACAGACTGCACTCTTGAAGGTGGCCCTGGTTATAAGTTTCAATTTCCTCAACTATCAAATGTGGATAATACCTGCTTCATGCAATTATTGGGATAATTAAATCAGAAATGTTCGTAAAGGTTCTAACAGAATCTGTCACAGAATAGGCAATAATAAATAACTTGTTTGTAATACAAAGCATTTATAGCCATATTAAATAAATATTTATTAAGTGTCTGCTATGTGCTGGGCACAGTACTAGGTACTCAGGGTACTTATTGTAAGGGAGATAGACAGATAAGGTCCCTGTCTTTATGTAGATTATTGTATAGTAGAAAAAACAATGAAAAAGTAAATGAACATGACAGTTATAAATTGTGGTAAGTGCTATAAAGGGAAAAATATGGTGCCGGGAAGGGAAATAATAGAGAGGATCTCCTTTAAATTGGGTGGTCATGGCCAGGCGTGCTGGCTCATGCCTGTAATCCTAGCACTTTGGGAGGCTGAGGCAGGCAGATTGCCTGAGGTCAGGAGTTCAAGACCAGCCTGATCAGCACGGTGAAACCTCGTGTCTGCTAAAAATGCAAAAATTAGCCAGGTGTGGTGGTGGGTGCCTGTAATCCCAGCTATTCGGGAAGCCGAGGCAGGAGAGTTGCTTGAACTGGGAGGTGAAGGTTGCAGTGAGCCAAGATGACACCATTGCACTCCAGCCTGGGCAACAGAGCAAGACCCCATCTAAAAACAAATTGGGTGGTCAAACAAATCCTCCTCTAGGAAGTATTATTTGAGATCAGAAGGATGAAAAGGAGCTTTTCATGGGAAGAGCAGGAGGAAGAATAGTCTAGGTAGAAAGATTAGCTAGTGCAAAGTCCCTGAAGTAGGAGAGAACATGGCATTTTTGAGAACTGAAAAGTGGCCAGTGTGGCTTTAATGTAGAGAGTGAAAAGGAGAATGATAAAAAATGAGGCTGGGGAGGGAAGGTAGAGAGGGCCCAGATCATGAGAACATCTTGTAGGATGAGGATTTAGGATTTTATACCAAGAATAATGAAAAGCTCTTGAAGGATTTTGGGCAGGGAAGTGAGATGATCTAATTGGTATCTGTAGAAGATTTTTTTGGCTGCTGCATAGGAAGGAACCATTGGATGGGCAAGAATAGATTTGTAGGATGCTATTTCAGCAGTCTTCGAAAGAGTTGACAGTGCCCTGGACTTGGGTGGTATTTATACAGTGGTAAATAAATGAATTTGAGGCTTATTTTGAAAGTATAAATGCTAGGCCTTGCTAATTGATTGGATGTAGAGGATTGAAGGAAAAAATACTCATAGCATTTTTCTGAGCAACTGGCTAACACCATTTAACCTAGATGAGATGCCTAAGGAGGGTTTTTGGGGGGACAGAGAAGTATAGAAATCAAGAACTTGGATTTAGGCGTGTAAAGTTGAGGATCCTTTGAGACATCTAACTGAAGATGGTGGGTGGAGGTACTAGTTAGAATTGTTGTCTAGGATTCTGTAATTACTAACTCTTGCCGTTACCACATTAGATTACCCGGACATATTCAGAAAACATCTAAAAGAAAAATACCTAAAGATAGGAGCTGATAAATGTTACCACCATGGCAAGCATATAGAGTCACGTCTGCTTCTTGTAAAAGACCATGGTATATCAGAAGAGGCACCATATGGAATTCCTCAACAAGATCGTTTTATTGACATGGAACATATATTTGATTCTAATGAAGAGGGCTCCAGCTCATCTCGAACTGTGGTGCTTCAGGGATGTGCTGGGACAGGGAAAACAGCTGTGGTGCACAAGTTCATGTTTGATTGGGCAGCAGGAGTGGTGACTCCAGGCAGGTTTGACTATCTCATCTACATCAACTGCAGAGAAATCAGCCCTATTGCCAACCTTAGTGCTGCTGACCTTATCACTAACACTTTTCAAGATATAAACAGACCAATCTTGGACATTTTTCTCATATATCCAGAGAAGATTCTGTTCATTCTTGATGGATTTCCTGAGCTGCAGGACCCTGTTCGTGACCAAGAAGAGGATCTTAGTGTTCACCCCCAGGAGAGGAAGCCAGTAGAGACTCTGGTATAGTTCTGTGAGGAAAAAACTGTTCCCCGAATCCTCTCTCTTGATAACTGCCTGGCCTACAGCAATGAAGAAGCTCCACTCTCTGTTAAAACAGCCTATCCAGGTAGAGATCTTATGGTTTACAGATACTGAAAAGAGAGCATATTTACTGAGCCAGTTTTCAGGTGCTAATACAGCAATGAAAGTCTTTTATGGTCTTCGAGAGAATGAAGACCTTGACATTATGTCTTCTCTTCCCATCGTCTCCTGGATGATATGCAAAGTCCTGCAGCCAAAGGGAGATGGTGATGGAACTCTCTTGAGGTCACTTCAGACCATGACTGATGTGTATTTATTCTACTTTTCCAAGTGCCTCAAAACCCTTACAGACATCTCAGCATGGGAAGGACAAAGTTGCCTGTGGGGTCTTTGCTCTTTGGCTGTGGAGGGTCTGCAAAACCGTCAGGTTTTGTTTGCAGTCAGTGACCTCAGAAGACATGAAATAGGAGTGTGTGACACCAACTGCACTTTTCTCAGTCGCTTTTTGAAAAAGGCTGCAGGAACTGTCAATGTCTACACTTTCCTTCACTTCAGTTTCCAAGAGTTCTTGACTGCTGTTTTCTATGCCCTGAAGAATGACAATAGCTGGATGTGTTCTTATCAAGTGGGGAAAATGTGGCAAGAAATATTCCAACAATTTGGAAAAGGTTTTCATCATTAATGATACAATTCTTCTTTGGCCTCTTACATAAAGGAAAAGGAAAGACGGTGGAAACTACTTTTGGAAGAAAAGTTTCCCCAGGACTTCGAGAGGAGTTACTGAAGTGGACTGAGGGAGAAATAAAGGATAAATATTCTAGGTGGCAAATTGAGCCGATGGACCTGTTTCACTGTTTGTATGAGATTCAGGAAGAATAATATGCAAAAAGGGTAATTGATGATTTGCAGTCACTTATACTACTTCAACCTACCTATACAAAAATGGACATTCTGGCTATGTCCTTCTGTATAAAAAGCAGTCACAATCACCGGTCAGTGTCTCTGAAGTGTCAGCACCTACTTGGATTTGAAGAGGAAGAGCGAGCCTCAGCATTCATGCCACCAGCCTTGACACTTAATAAGTAAGTATATCCATATCTTTCCTCCAGTTTTTGGGCTTCCCAGACAATGGGCCTACTTGTTTATTTCATGTATTCAGGCACATGGTCATTTCTAGCATCATTAATAAATAAAAGTAATCATCTCAGTTATCTGTATTTTATATCAATCAGTATAATAAGGATTTATTGAATATTATGTGCCAGGCACTGTACTAGTCACTCTGTGTGTGTGTGTGTGTGTGTGTGTGTGTGTGTGTATTAGTGTTCATTGCCACTGTGTGGATGTGCTTTATAACTCTAAAGTGTTATGAACATGTAAGGTCATTAAGTTGATCATTGAGGACTGCTATTTTGGTGCAATGACCATTCTGGAAAAAGGCATAAATCTAACATTCAATTGGTTGTCACTCTTTTCTACATATACTTCATCACTGAGGCCTCAGGGAACTTCAGGTTAGTAAGGGGCAGAGGTACACTCCTATATTATCTTGCTATAAATCCTAGTCATTTCCACCAAAGCTTACAGCTTTACTGAAGTTGAAAGAGGCTTAGGTAAATTACTTTTATAATATGGACTCGGTATACTATAAAATACAGTCCTACCAGCTTACTGGCTAAAGAAGCAGAGAAGACTTATACTTGTGCTATCTAGAAAATGCTGTAAGTCTGTTCTCAATATTTGGGTTAAGATGGATAATGCCTCTCCCTTAGTTTTCAGGCCAGCTGAGGAGCAGGGGGCTGGAAGGAGAGGGGTCAGCAGAAAGCTTCACTTGAGGAATGAGGTAACTCAAGTTGTGTCACTTATAGTTGTATTTCTTGAGTGGGCAATAACATAAAGGTGGAAATGTGCATGGGGTATATGTGTTTGAGGGAAATGAGAGGGAGAGAGGCATTAACAAGGATTTGTATTTGGAACTAGAGGGGGAAGGAATGAGAAGTTAAATGGACTCAGAATTATGAAAGACCTTGGCTTACAAGGTCTTGACCAATTAATAACAGCTTTAATTCGGCTGTATATTATAAAGTAAAAAAGGAAAAGGACTGATACATTTGAAAAAGTTGAAACAGTGATGGAAGCAAAGGGTCTCCTGGTTCATTTTGGGTTTCCAGAAAGTCAACCTTAGATGGAGTCCTCCCCCATAACCCTTATTGCCTTTATTAGAGGGCTTAAAGTCTTACCAAAAATTTAGCCCAACATCCTCTTCCCCCAAGCACATCGGCTATGTAAGAGTTTACTATTAAAAACTTTCTTGGTTTTTAATTATTGTCATTAATTCTTCTATTAGTACCGACAACCAAGAACCAGTTATATTGTAAAGTTAGCTTGGGCAGGTCACTTGATGTCTCAGATAATGGACAAAATGATGGTTATAATGCTCGTTATTGGGTTAAAGGCCAGATAAGATAATTTGTGAAAATGAAGTACTTACCCCAGTGCCTGGTACATAGTAACATGGTTTTGGAGTCAGACCTGAGTAGTGACCTCAGTTCTGTACCTACCTATGTGACCTTGAGCAGATTACTTTTTGTGCCTTAATTTCCGTATCTGCAAAATGGGATAATGGCTCTTAAGATTTTACGAAGGGGTAAATTAGTACTACCAGCAAGATAACAAAAGCCAGATAAGCCTTTTACTTAAAGTTTTGTTTTAAATTACTTTTTCCCCCTCATTTCTTTTAGGTCCTTTCAACTGTGCAGTTTACCAGTCTCAGCTACACTTCCTCTGCCAAGCACTGTGTAATCCATACTGTAAAATCAAAGACCTGAGGTAAGTTGAACTTTGTTTTACACTCTTGGGTATTTGCAGTTAAAGATTAGGTTGCTAGAAATTGCACTCCCAGTTGACTGGAACTAAAAATAAAATGTAGCTAGTTTTCAGCTTCTCCACAGTGGAGTAACAAATGAAGAGATAGGCTACAGGTTTAGAAGGGGCAGGAAGGAGTCAGGCATGATCTCTGCCCACCCTTCTTGCCTTTTCCCCTTTTGTATGTTTTGCTGTATTGAGTAAGTGGAAGGTTGTAACACCTGAGAGAGAGATTTGGGTCTGCTGCCCTGCTTGGGTCTGCCACCCCACTTTCTTTTCCTCCAAGACTCCCCCTGCTCTCTCCCTTAGTTTTAGTTCAGTTGGGTCCTGTCCTACTCCATGCAGCTTGATGATCCTTTTCTCTCCCTGCATTCCCCACTTTCACCGCCTAGTTATTCCCCAACGCACCCAAAGGACCCCGCCCCTGCCCTGCCCTTCCATCCTCACTTCCAAGCACTTCGTCCACAACACAAACACACAAGCAGGTGCTCCCTTGTTTTCCCAGCCCTTTGCCATATAGATCAATGTCTGCTCTTCTTCTTTCCTCCTGTTTCAGAGGAAAAGGCAGCCCTTCCCAGCCACCCAAGCCAGTAAATTCACTTCACTGTTTTTGTGAACATTTATTTTACTTTCATAACACAGAAGTATATACAGAAATAAAAGGCCTCCACCCAACTGCCCCATACCCCATCCCACCCTATATCCCCATAACCTGCTGTCTCCTATCTCCTGACCCTGAGCCCACCCTCCCTAGGTAATACCTTGTTTGCTAAGTGTATATCTAAACCATTTTCTTTTTTCTTTCTTTTTTTTTTTTTTTTTTTGAGACGGAGTTTCGCTCTTGTTACCCAGGCTGGAGTGCAAAGGCACGATCTCAGCTCACCGCAACCTCCACCTCCTGGGTTCAGGAAATTCTCCTACCTTAGCCTCCTGAGTAGCTGAGACTACAGGCACGCGCCACCATGCCCAGCTAATTTTTTGTATTTTTAGTAGAGACGGGGTTTCACCTTGTTGACCAGGATGGTCTCGATCTCTTGACCTCGTGATCCACCCGCCTTGGCCTCCCAAAGTGCTGGGATTACAGGCTTGAGCCACAACGCCCAGCTTATCTAAACCATTTTCTATGCTTACATAAACATAAAACTCTAACATAAGAGAAATATAAATCCATAAATGTATAATATTCATCTACACACATAACTTTGGGGAGTTTTGTTTTACAAAAACGAAAGTGATCTTGTCATATTTTTTTTTTTCATTTCACAATACAGAGGCCATGCCTCCAATACAATATGCAGAATCTACCACATTCTTTCACATGCTGTTTGCATTTTCAAGGTTTCTTCAACTATCTCCTCCATGGCTCACATTTCTCCCGTATTCAAAAGAACCAGCTGGGTACAGTAGCTCACACCTGTAATCTCAGCATTTTGGAAGGCTGAGGTGGGTGAATTGTCTGAGGTCAGGAGTTCGAGACCAGCCTGGCTAACATGGTATCTACTAAAAGTACAAAAATTACCTGGGCTTGGTAGCTACTTGGGAGGCTGAGGCAGGAGAATCGCTTGAACGCGGGAGGTGGAGGTCGCAGTGAGCTGAGATTGCACCACTGCACTCCAGCCTGGGTGACAGAGCAAGACTCTGTTTCAAAAAAAGAAAAAAAAACCCTCCCTCAACTGAGTATCCCACTTCAACCCTTCCCTTCATAGCCAAGAGTCCTTGAGGAAGAGCCTCCCTCACTGATTCCACATAATCCTTACTCCTCACTTCTGCAGTTTGGCTTCTTCCCCTGCCACCCTCCTAGATCTGCTGGAAGATTCAAAGTAAATGCCAGACCTAGTGGATACTTTTCAGCTCCTGAGAGGGCCCCTCAGCCTCATTGACCTTTTTCTCCTAATTCTTCCCGTTTTGACTGCTCCTAAGTACCTCATTTTCCAACCAGGAACAATTTTGCCCTCTAGTGGACATGTGGCAGTATCTTGAGACATTTTGGGTTGTCACAACTGGGGCTGAGGGATGGGTGCTTTTGGCAACTAGTAGATAGAGTCTAGGAATTCTGCTAAATATCTTACAGTGCACTGGACACCCCCCTGCAAAAAAGAATTATCCAGTTCCAAATGTCAAGAGCACCGAGATTGGAAAACTCTGTTTTAGAGAGATATAAACAAGCACAAAGACATTTCTGAAAACTGCAGGCTAGGAATCTGGTTCTCAATCCTGATGATTGTCCATTCCCAAAAGGAGACAACCTAAAAATCATGTTTAGCTGCTGCAGAGATGTCCCAGGGTCGTGACAGATTCTCAGTCTCTATATACCCACAGGCCTTGGGCAATGTCCAGGGTTCCTCCAGTTGTGTCCCAGTCTGGTCCAGATGTAACTCCTTCCCATCCTTCCACCTGTGGGCAAAAACATAAATGTAGCCCCCATCAACAAAACTCACAGTCATCAGAGGGAGAGAAGACGACTAACCTGTCACCTACCCCTTTACCCTACCCATTCCTGTCCTCCTCCACCTCACATCTTCCCTCTGAAAGTTGATTTCCCATTGGGATATGTTTCTGTTCTATTCTACACCGAGAGCTTTGTAGCCAGATTTCCCTCCCACATTTATCATGGTGGTGGTTTGGGGGAGAGAATCTCTCAAGATGGTACCATGCTTTGGCTCATAGTCTAGACCAGTAAACCCTCTGAGCACTATCAGTTGCCGACTCACCTCCTTGGCAGTGGCAGGAATTCCCTTTTCAGATCTGACTGTCCCAAGTTCTACTCACTGGGGATTGGAAAGGATTCTCCTGCCATGGGGCCAGACAGTCAGAACAGTCTGTACCTACATGGTGTTGGTGTTTTCTTTAGGTGGGCCTAAGGAATTCTCTTGGGGTGGCAAATCTCTGCTGTGTTGATTTGAGTCAGGATGCACCTGGGGTTCATCCCAGGACTCTTTTGATTGTTTCTTGTGATATAACTCATTCAGAGCATGAATGAACTTCCTATCCAATTAATTCATGGAAACTTTTGAGATGCAGGAATCTCCACTGCTCACCACACCCTGATGCAACTCTCCAGTCATTCCCACTATTTTCTTTAATGGTCTTTTGTTCAAAATTGCTCTTTTGGTACAAACTTCTAACTTGGAAATAATCTGGTTTATCAGAACAAAAACTTACTCAAAGTAAAGGGTATCTGTGTAAAGTAGATTTTCATGTAGCACAACTACAGGGAGTTAAAAGTGGCTGGGCTGCCACTACTCTCCATCTCTCTGGAGTCACAGGATGAACTCCTCTGTGCCTGTCTGCTCCCTGAAACCTCATACTGGCATCCTCTAAAAAACACTTGACTCTGTAAAGCATGCAATTCTGTTCCCCCATAGTCAGGGCCGACCCTCAGCTGTGGCCTTGGTGTCCATGGCTCTGACCCTGGCCCCAACTCCAAGTGACCCACTGCTTCATTGCCCAACACCATTCTGACGACTGTGAAATCTGCCTGTCTGTTCACATTTTCTTTTTCTTTTTCTTTTTCTTTTGAGATGGAGTCTCCCTGCCTCCCAGACTGGAGTGCACTGGCATGATCTCCACTCACTGCAACCTCTGCCTCCCTGGTTCAAGCAATTCTCCTGCCTTAGCCTCCAAATAGCTGGGACTACAGGTATGTGCCACTACTCCCGGCTAATTTTTTTTTTTTTTGTATTTTTAATAGAGACAGGGTTTCACCATACTGGCCAGGCTGGTCTCCAACTTCTGACCTCAGGTGATACGCCCACCTCAGCCTCTCAAAGTGCTGGGATTACAAGCATGAGCCACTTGGTGTCTGTTCAGATTTTCTAATGTGAAAAAGTTCATTTGGCTCAGGATTGGTCAAATATCCACTCCTGCTCCAATTGTCTAAGGCCTGCATGGAGGGAGAAAGTGGTGTTACATACTGCCCAGGTCCACCAGACACTTAAGATAGGGAGCTAGAGAGACACACACAAATAAAAACTACAGTAGTTCTGGAGTGTTGACTACTAATCCTCTGAAATACAAAGGGAGTCAATAAAGCATGTCTCTACCTGCCCATCATCTACATCCTTCCCCCACAGCCCCACCTCCCCTGCATTGCCCAATCTTCCTACTTATCCCCTTCCCCCCTCACTTCACTCAGTCTCCCTCCCACCTCTCCCCTCTCCCCCACCTCTCCCCTCTCTCCCCTGAAGATTGATTTCCCATTGAGATATATTTCTGTTCTATTTACATATCTGAATTCACTGAGGCTTTTGCAGCCAGATTAGCCTCCCACAGAGGAAGCAATTTTCCCTCCGTCAAAAATTCACAGCTTTACACCACGGGCAGTCCCAGTCCCCGGGCCTGAGATGCACTGGAGGTCTTCTCTGCTGATGGGGTTCAGAGTCTCTCCTGTCTCTTGGGGGCTCTTGAGGGTCTATTCCTTGGGCCTCCACATCAGACCACAGGCTAGCATCAGAGAACCCCCAGTTGGAAGGCATCTGGGTTGGAACCCGTACTATGACCATTGCTGGTGGAGGGGGTGTAGTGGGTATGGCTGAGAAAGCAGACAAAGGACATGAGTATGAGTATGAGTATGTGAATGAGGCAGGGAGCTGGACAGCAATAGGCTCCAGTGAGGCTGTGGACGCAGGCCCAGAGAAATAAGACATGGGTGTTTGTACTGACCTGAGATCTTCCTCCTTCTGCCCCAACGGTGTAATTTGTCTGCTCCGCAGCTCCAAGAGGCTGCCTGCAGCCTCCTCCCAGTCCCTGCAAGGCCTCTGCCAGGACAGGCCCCGCCTCTGCATACCTCTCCTCTCCTCCTCCTCTAGCAGCACCAGCAGTAGCCACCTCTTTTTCCTGTTCATCTGCTCCTTCTGTCCAAGCCCCTCCAGCAGTGGCCAGGCCCGGCAACACAATAGCCTGTCCCTGTCCCTGGGGAGATGCCAGCTCCTGCAGAGAAGTGGACAGAGCTGAGACACGTTTTGGGGACAGGGCAGGGGTCTGGGTGGGTTGGGGCAGGGCACGGGCACTGGGCAAGGACCATTCAGGGGATCTTACAGCACGTAAGAGCTTCCATCTCAGCATGTCCCGCTCTCTCTGCACCTCCATAAGGCGGGTCTGGGTCAGCTGCAACTGGAAGGTCGCCTCATTGCATTCCATCTCCTGCTTTTCCTTGAGTTTCGTCAGGTTTGAGGCCAAGACCAGCGCAGCTGATCTGTGCAGTTTGACTAAGTTTTGCAGCCGCTGCACCCTGCGGTTTTGTAACTCTGCCTGCCTATGGGCGAAGTGCACCGCCAAGGCCAGGCTGCCCCAGGTGCAGGCCTCTTTGACCTCGCTGGGCACCTCGCGGTTCTCCAGGATGGCCCTGAGCTTGTCTTCCACCTCCTCCCAGGATAAGGATATATTCTCGAGATAGAACTCGGGGCCTTTCGGGTGTCTGGCCATCTTCTCGTTGATGAATGCCACCACGTTGCCGTGCCGGAACCCACTACTGGGGTCCTCAGGTCTCAAGGCCATGGTCGTCTAGGGGCTTAAGTTTCGCTAGACCTGTGTGGATGGGGCAACCAATAGGTTCTTTCCCTCTCCCTTACCCCTCCCCTCATCAGTCTTCTCCCACCTTATTCCTGCCCTCACCACCCCCCCGCCCCCGCCTCCTGCACAAGACCCTCCTAATGGCCCTCTGACCGGCTTGTCCTACCCTAGGATACCTCCCACCACGCCTCACCTCTTCAGCCAGGAGCCAGAGGAAGTACAGGCCAACCTAGCTGCCTAACACACCCGAAGAAAGAAGGGTGCCTCTCTCCTCCTAAGTCTGTGCAGAAAGAAAGCCTCAGGGCCAGCCTTCGAGGCACTTACTCTGGGACTGTTCCAATTTCCAGAGACTCTAGGGGTGAAAGGGAATGAGTGAGGAAGGCCTCTACCATTCCATTGGGATGTAAGGAAACCCACCACATGGTTGGGAGCCCTTGAAGGATGAAAGAAACAGGAGTGGTCCGGAGAGACTTAGAACTAAAAAAAAGTGAAGTATTTGTGAACAGGTTGAAGTCTCATCCCTCCCCACCATAATGGTTTGTCCCATGGGGGGGTAGTTTCGCCCCCCACCTGGAATATTCGCGAACAGGAAACGGCCCCAACCCCCCAGTTGCCCTCGGAAGAGGATGGAGCTAGGGGAAGAGCTTATCACCTATTGACTCAGGACACCACAGACACCCTAACAAATGCTGGCCCTGCCTTCGTCCTCCAACTCCTCTTTCTCCACCTTCTTCCCATCCCCGCTTCTCCCACTCGTCCCCGACTGAAACGTTTTGAATTATCCATCTCCCATCTTTCCTTCCCTCGACTACAGCATTTGACATCTGGTCAGCCTCCTGTCCTACCCTGTCATCAGAGGAATATATGAATATTTCTCTTAAAACCTTCAGCCAGGCGCAGTGGCTCACGCCTGTAATCCCAGCACTTGGGGAAACTGAGGCGGGCAGATCACGAGGTCGGGAGATCAAGACCATCCTGGCTAACATGGTGAAACCCCGTCTCTACTAAAAATACAAAAAATTCGCCGGGTGTGGTGGCATGCGCCTGTAGTCCCAGCTACTCGGGAGGGTGAGACAGGAGAATCACATGAACCCAGGCGACGGAGGTTGCAGTGATCTGAGATTACGCCACTGCACTCCAGCCTGGACGATACAGCAAGACTCTTGTCTAAAAAAAAAAAACAAAAAAACAAAAAAAACCCAAAACAGAAACAAAAGCACACTGTCATCCTAGCACTTTGGGAGGCCGAGGCGGGCAGATCACTAAGTCGAGAGATGGAGACCATCCTGGTTAACATGGAGAAACCCCCGTCTCTACTAAAAATACAAAAATTAGATGGGCATGGTGGCGCGTGCCTGTAGTCCCAGCTACTTGGGAGGCTGAGGCAGAAGAATCGCTTGAACCCAGGAGGCGGAAGTTGCCGTGAGCCGAGATCGCGCCATAGCCTTCCAGCCTGGGCAACAATAGTGAGACACCATCTCAAAAATAAATAAATAAAATTATTTATATTTTTCTCTATTGTAAAATTGTTTATAATAAACATGTATTATGTTTTTCAAAACTGAAAAAAAGTTTCTTCCGGTAACGGCTGATCATTTTAAATAATTTTTAAGTACTTGGAAAGTACTTCTATAATTCCACCCTTCTTTCAACATGACTGATACACCTGTTAATAGTTCATTATATAGTCTTTTAAGATAGGCCATAGCAAGCCATTTTTAGTTTTTCAAACGAAGCATCTCTCTCTTCCCTCCTGGCCCTTGCACAGGCCGCTCTGTGCATGCACGAATTGCCCCTCATCCCATCCTGCTTTTTTTACTCCCATTCTCTTCATTCACCTCCTATACAAGTTCTATTCCCCTTTCATGATAGTGCTCAGACATTTCTTCCTCTTGTATTTCCTGATTCTCCAGAACCTACCTCAAGCTAGGCTGAATTCTGCAACCTTTCTGTGTCCCCATAATAACTTGTGCAAATGACTGGCAGTATTTTTCACACTGTATTGTAATCTGTGATTTTCTCGTTTTTCTCCATCAACTGGGCATTTCTTGAGGGTGTAGTATATGTCTTAATTATCTTTGTGTTTTCAGCATCTAGAACAGTAGTAAGCACCCAATATATATTAATTATTGAATGAATTGAAATAATTTATTACACCAGCAAGGTGCCAACAAATACCTTTAATGATATCCCTATTTTCTTTATTTTTTTTCTGAAATGTCTTTTTTCTCCACACAGACTGATTTTCTGTCACTTCACAGCGTCTTGTGGTAGGGACCTCTCCTCAGTATTTGAAACCAACCGTTATCTGACAGATTTAGAATTTGTAAAAAGTACTCTTGAAGATTCAGGAATGAAGCTTCTGTGTGAAGGATTAAAACATCCCAACTCTGTATTACAGACATTGAGGTGATTGGTAGCAGGATAATTTGTTATTTGATACTCTTATTTTGGGGGGTCAGTTTCTATTTTTGTCAGGGAAGAGCATGAATATGGTAATGAGGTCATTCTTCCGTTCTCTAAAGGTTGTACCGGTGCCTTATCTCTTCTGCTTCTTGTGGGGCTCTCGCAGCTGTTCTTAGCACCAGTAAGTGGCTCACTGAGCTGGAATTCAGTGAGACAAAACTGGAAGCTTCAGCTTTGAAGTTGTTCTGTGAAGGCTTAAAACATCCAAATTGCAAATTACAGAAGCTCAAGTAAGTTCTGTTAGTTTTTATTCTGCAGGAATATTTGAAAAATATGCAACTCAAGACGGATGTCTTAGGGTCAAAACACATTTGAAGGAGTCATGAAGAGGAGGAATAAAGGTGGCAGCTCCTAAAATTTCTGTGTAATAAGTTTAGGAAGAGAATTTTCATTTTAAGTGGAAACATTATCAGTAACAATAATAATAACTCACACTTAGCAATTACTGTGTACTAAGCATTGTGCTGAGTATGCACGGATTCTGTTAATCTGCACAACAGCTGTGAAAGGTCCAGATTGTTATTTGTATTTTTGCAGATGAGGAAATGGAGGAGGTCCGATGTCATTAAGCTAAAAGAAATATGACAGAGGTCCAATTCAAAACCCAGATGTATCTGACTTCAAGTCCATGATAATCACATTAATTAAAAAAAAGTGTTATGTTAGTCAGTGTTCTCCAGAGAAACAGAACTTTGTGTGTGTGTGTGTGTGTGTGTGTGTGTGCACGCGCGCGCGTGCATGCATGCATGTGTGTGTGGGAGGGCAGGTAGTGAGAGAGCCAGAAATAGATTTACTTTTAAAAATTGGCTTACGCAGTTATGGAGACTAGCAAGTCCAAGATCTGAAGGATAGGCCAGCAGGCTAGAGAATTGGAAAAGGGCCAGTTTTGTGGTTCGAGCCGGAAGGTTGTCTGGTGGTAGAACTCCCTTTTCTGAGGAAGTCAGTCTTTTTCTATTAAGGCTTTCAACTGACTGGATGAAGCCAAATCATATTATGGAGGATAATCTACTCAAAACGGGCTGATTAAAAATGTTAATCTCATCTAAAAAGTACTTTCACAGAAACATCTAGAATAATACTCGACAAAATATCTGGGTACCATGGCCTAGCCAAGTTGACATAAAATTAATTATCACGATATATATGTGGGATTTTGTTAAAGCAAAAACTGTTTAGCATTCAAGTGTTCTGAAATCCACATTGAAAACTCATTTTATGCAAAGTAACTCTATTTAAAATTTCTAAATTGGGGAGATATAAGTGCATCTCTTTATGAGCTCTCTTCAAAGTTGAGTTTATAGTCTTTAGAAAAAATGTAAAGATTTGGCCATGCACGTTAGCTCACGCCTGTAATCCCAACACTTTCGGAGGCCGAGTCGTGCGGATCACGAGGTCAAGAGATTGAGACCATCCTGGCCAACATGGTGAAAGCCGGTGTTTACTAAAAATACAAAAATTCGCTGGGCGTGGTGGCTACTGTAGTCTCAGCTACTCAGGAGGCTGAGGCAGGAGAATCGCTTGAACCCAGGAGGTAGAGGTTGCAGTGAGCTGAGATCACACCACTGCACTCCAGCCTGAGTGACAGAGTGAGTAAAAAAAAGAAAAAAAAATGGAAAGATTTAAAGGCTGTAGGGTATATCTAGAAATTCTTGAATGTGATAGGAAAAAAAGTTGATGGAAAATAGTACAAGGAATCATACTACTTAATATGGAGAAACAAAGATTAAGAAGACAGGGACCTCAGTAAGAACCACTCTTTGTGACAAAGAAAGAATATTATGGGCTGGGTCTCTCTAAGAATGGGAAATTAGTACTAATATTTAGATAAGAGGAAAAGAAGGACCTTTGTATTGTGTGTGTGCTGGGGTCTCACTGGAGTGCAGTGGCATGATCTTAGCTCACTGCAACCCCTGCCTTCTGGGCTCAATCTGTCTTCCCCCCTCAGCTTCCTGAGTAGTCAGGACTCTAGGCATGTACCACAAAGCCTAACTAGTTTTTGTTTGTTTGTTTGTTTTGCATTTTTCGTAGAGATGGGTTTTTACCATGTTCCCCAGGATGGCTTCAAACTCATGGGCTCAAGCAGCCCACCCACCTCAGCCTCCTGAAGTTCTGGGATTGTAGGTGTGAACCGCAAGAAAGACCTTTTGCCCATAAAATTTATGATTATAGGATTCATCCCCTGGGATCTGAAAGGAGATATGCAATAAAGTGTTAAATTCATACAGGGATTTAAAATGAGATTAAATCATCTTAATATTTCCTCCACACCCTTTGGTAATTATTTTGAAATTAATTGTTTTGAAATTATTGACCATGTCCTTGCCATGGGGATAGGGGGCTGTGACATGCTCAAGACTGGGTGGGTCTTGATTTTCTGTGTTCATGCAATGTTGTTAATAGGGAGTGAGTAGTACACTAAGTGGTCAATTCTGTCTTTGTATATCCTTCCCTTCAGGTTATGTGCTAACCTTCTCCCAGAAGGCTCAGAAACTGTTTGCAAGTATCTTGCTTCTGTTCTTATTTGCAACCCACACCTCACTGAACTGGACCTGAGTGAAAATCCCTTGGGAGACGTAGGGGTGAAGTATCTTTGTGTGAGTCTTAGACATTCCAACTGCAAAGTGGAGAAACTAGAGTAAGTTTCCTCGAACTTATCTGGTGTCATCTAATGACTATTGAACTTGTTGCGTGCCTGCTATGTGCTTGGTGCTTGCCAAAAGTTATCTCACTTGAATTCCTCCTTATAGTAACCATATAAGGTGGATTTTTAAAATCCTCATTGTACAGATGAAGAAACTGGGGTTCAGGGAGCAAAATGACTGTTCCACAGTCACACTACTAATAAGTCAGGATGTGACTCCAAAATCTGTCTCCAAATCTCATGGTCTTTCTAGTACACCACAGCTGTGTATGTTTACAGGAGTGATATTAGTTAAATGTTAACGATATAAAGGTTACTTACTATGTACCGAACACTGGGCTAGATATGGGCAGAGTTATCAGAAGTTCTGCAAATGACAAAGCTGTCCTTAAGTCACAGATACATGTCAACTAATACAAAATCATTTGAAATGCTAGATGAGCCCAGGGGAGAGGAGGAGATCACTGTGAGCTAGACATCTCAGTAGGAGGTTCTGAAAGGGAAGTAGGGCAGGGGCTGGAACTTAAAGGATGGTGAGGACTTAGCTAATTGGGCAGATGGACAGAACATTTCCAGGAAGCCAAAATGATGGCAGAGGCTGAGTTTTCTTTTTTTCTTTGCTGGATAGCTTGAGCACATGTCACCTCACAGATGCTAGCTGCGTGGAGCTCTCTTCTTTCTTGCAAGGGAGTCAGACATTAAAAGAACTGTTCATGTTTGCCAATGTCCTGGGGGACACAGGAGTACAGCATCTCTGCAAAGGTCTGCAGCACACAAAGGGTGTAATTGAGAATCTTGGGTAAGTATCTGCTTGTCCTTATCCTTCTCATGGGCCTTGGCATTTGAGGGTCAGTGGGGCACACTGCTGCCATAGATAACAGCCACCTTGTTATCCTCATCCCTCTAGGCTTTCTGAATGTTCCCTGTCTGTAGCTTGTTGCAAACCCTTTGCCCAAGTCCTGAGCTCCAGTCGGAGCCTGACGAGGCTGCTTCTAATTAATAATAAAATTGAAGATATGGGACTGAAATTGCTGTGTGAAGGATTAAAACAGCCTGACTGTCAGTTAAAAGATCTGGCGTAAGTATCATGGACTATAGCCATGGGCAAAGTTTCCCGATGTTTCAGCAACTCCCAAAATTAAACGAGTATTTTTTGGCGTGGTGAATAAATCTCCAAGGAAGCAGTAAAGAAAGAACTGAATAAATTACGGGGAATGAATCATTCTTTCTCCACAGTTTCTCCCTGGCCTTGGCCGAAGGGAATATTGTTGCATGACACTGATTTCTTCTGTTTTTTTTTTTTTTTTTTTTTTTTTTTTTTTTTTTTTTTTTTTTTTTTTTTTTCTGTTGGGCAAACAATTCTTTAAGTGACCCAGTGCAGATGCAATGATGCCAGCCTTCTCTACCTTACTTCCTGGTAGGTTGTGGACCTGTCACCTGACCGGGGCATGTTGTCAGGATTTGTGCAATGTACCCTACACCAACGAACACCGGAGAGACCTTGACCTCAGTGACAATGCCTTAGGGCACGAGGGAATGCAGGTTCTGTGTGAAGGGCTGAAACGCCCCTGTTGTAAACTACAGACTTTGTGGTATGTGCACAGGGACTCTGTCTACTGGGCCTCTTTTTCAGGCTGTATATGAAAGGGAGGGACACTGGGAACTTGGGATACTACCGATTACTTTCTTGAATCTTCGATCACTCACAGGTTAGCGGGATGTCATCTCACAGACGCATGCTGTGGAGCCCTTGCCTCTGTCCTCAACAGAAATGAGAACCTAACATTGCTAGACTTAAGTGGAAATGACCTCAAGGCTTTTGGAGTGCAGGTGCTGTGTGATGCGCTGATTCATCCAATATGTAAACTTCAGACATTCTAGTAAGTCACTGCAGTGAGGAAGTGGGAGGGAAGGGGTCAAGACAGGCATATTGGGTTTGGTCATAGCCCATTGCAGTGAGCAAAGAGAAGAAAAACTGAGGGCAAGCTAAGCCTACTTTACCTTACTAGTAAAGTAAGTGAAATTACCAATAGGCCTGTCCTCTCTGGACATGAGCAGGGAGAGGCAGAGGACAGTCTTCTCTGTTATCAACTTGCTAAAGGAAGTAACATGGTGTAAGAAAAAGAGCATAAGATTTAGGGTTTGCTAGGTTTGGCTTAAATCCTAGGTCTAGCATTTACTAGCTATATGACCATGCTTACTTAATGTCAGTATCCTGGTCTATAAAACTGTGACAGTGCTATTACCTGACTACCTGGGGTTAACATGGTGACTGAATTGAGACTGCAATTATGAATGTACCTAGAACAACTCCTTGGCACATAGGAGGTACTCTGTAAATGTTACCCTCTTTCTGTTTCCAATTCTAACTGCTAGAGGATTTGATGTATACATTTTGAGAGTCTTCCAACACTCAAGGGATGAAGCTATAATGGCACAATTACAGAGGGTGGAGGTCTTGGCCCTCTCTGGTCAGTATCTGTCTGTCAGCTCAGCAGGCTGGCGTGATACACAAAGTAATTCTTAATTAAAATACAACAGTGCTCTGTTGGCAGCTGACCGGTGACCAAATGGCCATTAGTTTCTGGCATTCGGAACTGGAACACATAATGGAAAGTAAAGGCCGAGTGCAAAAATTCCACGTTCCAAAGCCAATTTGATGGATAAATGAGAACAGCATAAAAGTCTGATTATGAGTCTGGCTAAAACAGAAGCTGGTTCTCCACTAGCCAAGTGAAGTCTGTTAGTTTTAAAGGCCCAAGAGTGTGGTGATTACTGCCTAAGCAAAGGGAATTATTTACAACATGATAAACCTCAGGGCTTAGGAATCTCTGTGGTGTCTTTCTCAGAAAGAAGTGGATGCAATCTTTATTATCAATAGGTTGAAATAAGCTCGATAATCAACCTTAATGTTTCTTTAAATGTAGAGTAATTTAATGTGGTAGCATTCCACAGTGTAGATGCTACAATAAAGGTCCTAAGTAGCAGCAAGGAGAAAACATTTGGTCGGTGACGGCATGCCATTATTTTTTTATTGTAGGTTGTTGTGCCATTTTCTATTTTTTCTCACACTTCGTCTTTTATCCAATAGACTTCCACTGTGTTTTCAGTCCAACCTTCAAATCCTTCTAAGTTGTCAATCCAGTTGATAGCAGTGTGCAATAATAGCTCTGAGTACAAAATAAAGGACACACACATACAAAAGTAGACAAAATTTGCTGACCCCAAACAAATTTTAAATGTTAGAATGTGTATCAGACAAAACTGAAGTCAATATAAACATATGTTTACCCAAGTAAGGTGAGTAGAAGATATGGATCATTTAGTGTGGTGAGCTGGACATGAATAAATCAAGAAGAGCCTCCTAGAAGGGGTAGTCAGATTTGGTTGGAGCAAGGTAATTTTCTATCTTTTATTTATTTATTTATTTATTTATTTAAAGACTAGTCAAGTGCAGTAGTGAGGAGGGAAAGAGTAGAACAAGGAGTTGGATCTGTAACTAACTGTGAACAGTCAGTTGAGATACCTCACTACCGGAGGAAGATTATTTTCTAAGAGCTGCTTGAGTGCAGAGTCTGAATCCTATTCCTCATTGTATTTTCCCCTGTAAACTTCCTGGTGCAGTGCTTTGCATATAGTAAGTACATAAGTACATGTAGGAGATGAGTTGGTAATTTAGAGCAACTGGGAGCAAGGCAAGGAGACAGTTAATGATATGCTTAAAAAAAACAAAACAAACAAAACGAACAAACAAAAAAAAAAACCAGGTGTTTTGGCCAGGCAGGGTGGCTCATGTCTGTAATCCCAGCACCTTGGGAGGCCAAGGCAGGTGGATCACCTGAGGCCAGGAGTTTGAGACCAGCCTGGCCAACATGGCAAGACCCCGCCTCTACTAAAAATACAAAAATATTAGCGGGGTGTAGTGGCCTGTTCCTGTAATCCCAGCTACTCAGGAGGCTGAGGCAGGAGAATCACTTGAACCCGGGAGGCGAAGGTTGCAGTGAGCCAAATTCTTGCCATTGTACTCCAGCCTGGGCAACAAAGTGCGAATCCGTCCCCCACCCCCTAAAAAAAATACCAGTGTTTTGACATTCAGCAGGTCAAGTGAAGAGGTAGCCACGGAGGGAAAAAAGCTAATTTTTATTCATTCCACAATTGCTTGCTGAATACCTCTTATGTACCAGACAAATGTGCCAGGTGCTGGGGAGTCAAGAACAAATAAGATTAAGAGACATGACCTGTGCTCTTCAGGGGCCAGTGGGCCTAGTAGTAGAGACAGGCACATAAACTTATTAATGCAATGACATAGTCATGAGCTATTAAGAGAGCCATGGCAAGATACAGCTAGCCTAGCCCAGGAGGATCAGGGAAAGCTTCTTGGAGGAAGAGCCACCTGAGTTGAGTCTTAGGACGTTAGCTAGGGGCAACAAGGGTAAAAGTAGAAAAGGGTAGTCCAGACTTAGGAGATAGCATGAACACAAGTACCCAGACAGTAAATAGCACGGTTTATGGTACTTGATAGGGATAAAGATGGGGAATCTCTAAAGTTTCGTATTGCTGGAGCATAAAGTGCAAAGCAGAGTGTGTCAATAAATGAGACTGGGGAGTTAATCAGGACCTTGTGTACCATGTGTGATGAGTAAGACCTGTTAGCAGAATTCTCAGTGCAAGTTCAGTCATACATGCTCTAGTAGTAGTACATTTTGAGGCATCTCCTCACCCCAACTTTCTAAAACAGGCCCCATCTTTGGGGCCAGTTCTGCTTCCAAAGGTAGATGGAGAAGCATTCTACTCTTGCTTCTATTTCTCACTGCCACTTGGGTTGATATTGAGAACTGACCCTTCACAGTCCAACAGAAGCTTGGTGACTGGATAGTGATACCCTGGCTGGTCCAGCATCCCTGCCAGCCTTGCCTTCAGTGGCATTACACTTGGGCTTCCAAGTTACAGATATCTTAGTATTCACCCAAATGTGCAGCTGTTGTTCTATGAAGTACCGTATATATCAGGGTGACTAGGTCTAGAGAAGTTCCTTTCATCAGCTGCAGTTACATGTGTGGTGAAGCTTGGCCTTGTCCATAAAGATGTAGGCCCTTGATTTGAGCCAGGGATACCACTTAGGTTTTCTTCTTTCTTCAAGGTAATTTTATTTCGGGGTCTTGGTGCCTTCCTAGGCACTGGACCTTGAATCAAACACTGTTCCTCATCCTGATACATATTCTTAATTCTAAATTTGGAAAGAAGAGGTTGTGGGTAACTGGTCTCTTAACTCCCAGAAAACCTCTGGGCTTCCTAAGCAAATTGACCCACTTTTTCCCAGCAGTGAGCTCTACTTATCAGGAAGCAAGCTTCCTGACAAGTCACTCAAAAAATTCTAAAGTTCTTCTATGGCATTAAATAAGGCCACTTACCCTACGATTACATAATTAACAGGGTTGCTCATTTCATTTTGCTAGATGAAGATTAGCTTCTATCCATTAAAAACTAAAATGATACCTTTCTACATACTTGAAAGAGCTTGTACTTTTTTTTGTAGTCAATGGGTTTTAATTCCGGCTCCACATACTGAGTTTGAAGGGCCTGGAAGGGTGGGAGGCAGATGCTGAGCAAGTTTTCTAGTAGATAGGTGGTTGGATGTAGGAGTGTGGCCTGGGAAGTAATCATCCACAAAGAGGTGATAGCTGGATCTATGACAGTGCATGAGCTCTACTAGGAAATGTGAGAAGAGAAAAACCTCTCAGGAATATCACTGGGAAATAAGCCCTGGATGATACCATTTTCAGAGATTGATATATGGAAAGGAAAACTCATGAAGAGAACCAAGAGAGAATGGTATCCTGAAAAAGCTAAGGGAACAGTGAATTTCAAGAAGTGCTCAACAGTATCAAATGCAGCAGAGAGATCCAGAAGGATGAGCACTGTGAAGTGTCCAGTGGATTTAGCAATTAGCAGGTCATAGACAATCTCGTCAAGGGCTGTTTCAATAGTGTGGTAGGGCTGGAAACCATATTGCAGTGACTTGAAGAGATAGATGATAAGCAAGTGGAGAAAGAGAGCAGAGATTACTTTTGAAAGAAGTTTATGAAAAGGAGAATAGATTTGGGGTTGTAGCTAGAGGAAACTGTGGGACAGGAAAAAGTAGGGATTTTTTTTTTTTTTTCCTTTTTGCCTTGTTTTGAGACAGGCAAATTTGTAGGCCTAGAGGAAGGAACCCATAGAGAGGAAGAAGTTGCAGCTACAGGAGTAAGAACTAATGGACTAATGGAGCAGGGCCTTGGACAAGGCAGGGCAGGACAGGAGTGATATTTCAAGAGAAAGAGTTAAGCATTTTATCTTTTGAGACTCAAGGAAAGGTGCTAAGGCTGGAGGAAGGGGTAGATATCTGAGTGGATGAAGTAAGTAACTCAGTGGTGCCATGGAGCAAGTGTGAACTGGAATCTGATCCATGAGAATAGGAAAGCTACCGCAGACATCTCTTGGCTTGACAAGATAAAAGTCTTAATGCAAGATTTTTTCCCTTTTTCCAGCATTGACACAGATCATTTACATGAAGATACATTTAGAAAGATGGAAGTTTTAAAAATGAGCAAGCCTGTAATCATCTGGTAGTTTTCAAGGAGAGCTCCTGAATTGACTGCATATAGACCCCTCCATCTGACACCGTTTTTAAAAGTTGTGCAGTATTATTTTTCCAAACTGTTAACCTTTGCTGAGGAGGCTAGTGTGATACAAACAGCAGTGATTGCTATTTCTTACATACATCTATCCATTAAGTAGGATGTAAAAGGCAGAAGCAGCTTAAATGTCTTCAGTGTAATAGCTTACATTCATATGTTTATGTTACATTGTTTACTATGCTTTTACAAGAACCCTCAGAAGTGGGAAGATGAGGCTCTGAGAGGTTGTGACTAGCTCCAGGACATAGAGCTCATTAGAGGGAGAGTCAAAACTGCAATTCAGGCAGGTGTCTCTCAATACAGGGAAACAATAGAAAAAACATACATGAATGAGTCCACTTAAAGAGACAAGATACTTGAAATGATTAAAGTAACGAGAGTATACAAACACATGTTACATCTTATGGTGCTGATTTCAAATAAACTTCTAATTCATCAAGGAAGAATGAGCTGGGCTAATTGGGAAGGGCTTCCTGGAAAAAGTGAGACTCGATGTGGGCCTTGAAGAGTGAATATGATTGAGATAGGTGAGAATACAGCGGCCAATGGCTTTACGACTGCAGGGCAACAGGGCTCTGTTTTTGAGCAGCTCACCAAAAGAGACTAGGGAGAATGAAATGTTTGCCCTAAAATTTCTTGAGCTCCCACAGTATCGGTAATCCTAGGATTCTGAGAGTGCTTTCCAGTTCCCAGTCTCATCTCCCTTTCTGAACTTTAAATACTTTCTGAATGTATTTGTATTTGTTCATGGCCTTCTGAGACTGACTCAAGTCTTGATCTCTGACAGCATCTTACATAGCCAAGCGTGGATCCTATACAACCCCGTTTGTCTCTCTGCCTAGCTTTCACAAAACACCACACAAGGCAGTGGAGAAAGAGAGTGTCAGGCAATTAAACAGTGCAAAGTCAGCGAAATAGTGAACATGATGTGGGATCAACAGAAAGTAAGCTGGGCTTATTAAAGTGTAAAGATGTCTCCAGAAGCTATAACTAACTGTGTGACCCTGAATATGTCACTTGGATTCCTGAAACCTCAGTTTCCTTATCTTTGAAATGGGGATAAATTGACATTAACCTTGTAGGGCTGTTTCCCAACATGGTACTTCCCTGCAGTAGGCACCAGTTAGTTGTAGCTCTTTGTGTGTTTACCTGTAGTATACGTCAGCTGTATAATGGAACTCCTAGGTTTTCTTGCAGTGTAATCTATGTGAAATGTGTGTTTGAACTAAATGTATGTGCCGGACACAATGAACCTAGTGAAGGAAGAGACTCACAGTGGGAAGTTATTTCAGAAGGGAGGTTGTAGTATAGCCCAGCTGTTTCATGGCTTTATCCATCATCATTTATTGTTCTGCACTGCCCTGGGAGATAGTAACACTCAAGAAGCACACCAGGTCTATCCTGAGAAGAATGGTCAAGATAGTAGTTTGTCTCCAGTTTTCTGATATTTTCTTTCCTTTTAGTTACTTAACACGTTTATTGCACATTTGTTACGTGCCAGATTTTGTGATAAGTGTTGACTTTGCAGAAATGAATATGCCTCTTCCTGTGCACTTCCTCTACCATGTTCTCTGACTGCCTTAGTCCCTCTGTCAGTCTGGAAAACATCTGATAAAACTCAGTCTCACTAAGAGCTCAAAGATACAGTGTTAAATGAGAAATTGCACAACTGTGTGTGTGCACAGTCCAATTTGTGTACAAAAAGATACATATGCATGTGTACATGTGTCCAGAAAATCCGTGGAAGAATGTATACAAGGAACTGCTAACAGTGATTACTATGGCAAGAGGAATGTAGCAAGCAGAGGCAGTGGGGAGAAGAGGAAAGAACTTTTCATCAATAGCCTTCTGTCTTACTCGATTTTTTTTTTTTTTTTACCACATGCATGTTTTACTTTTATAATTAATAAACATGACGTTAAAATAAAATTCATACTGAGGAGTACTTTTTCTTTTTTAAAAATTTTTGAAATTGGATGCCAGTTCCGGAATGAGGGGATTGATTTGACACACAATCCTGAGTTCACCACCTGTGAGTTCTACATGGCCTATGCAGACTATCACAATCTCATAGGAATCATGGAGAACATGGTTTCAGTGATAGTGACGCATACTACGGGCTGGTACAAGGTCTTCTACCACCCAGATGGCCCAGAGGGCCAGGCCTATGAAATTGACTTCACCCCACCTTTCCAGAGAATCAGCATGGTAGAAGAGCTTGAGAAAGGCTTGGAGTTGAAGCTACCAGAAACTAACCTCTTTGAAACTGAAGAAACTTGCAAAATTCTTGATGATATCTGGGGGGTAAAACCTGTTGAATGCTCTCCACCTCGGACCACAGCCAGGCTCCTTGACAAGCTTGTAAGGGAGTTACTGGAAATGACTTGCATCAATCCTACGTTCACCTGTGATCAGCCACAGATAATGAGCCCTTTGGCTAAATGGCGCCGCTCTAAAGAGAGTCTGACGGAAAGCTTTGAGCTATATGTCATGAAGAGATATGCAATGCCTACACTGAGCTGAATCATCCCATCCAGCAGCAGCAGCTTTTTGAAGAACAGGCCAAGACCAAGGCTGCAGGTGATGATGAGGCCATGTTCATAGATGGAAACTTCTGTACTGCCTTGGAATACGGGCTGCCCCCACGGCTGGCTGGGGTATGGGCATTGACCGAGTCACCATGTTTCTCAGGGACTCCAGCAACATCAAGGAAGTACTTCTGCTTCCTGCCATGAAACCCGAAGACAAGAAGGAGAATGTAGCAACCATTGATATGCTAGAAAGTACAGCAGTTGGCACTTTGGTCTAGAAAATAATAATTGCAAGTTGTATAACTCAGGCGTCTTTGCATTTCTGCAAAAGATCAAGGTCCACAAGGGAATTCTTGTATGTGGCTTTCCATTTGACTGCCGCAGTTTGGTTCAGCCATCAGAAGAGAGACAAGGAATTAAAAATGTCTTTTTAATCCTTGTTACCAAAAAAACCATTTGTCTCTTCTCAAAAAAAAAAAAAAAAAAAAAAAAGGAAAGAAAGAAAGAAAATGTGATATATATATGTATATATATATGTATGCCATGGAATACTACTCAGCCATAAAAAGGAACAAATAACAACATTCACAACAACATGGATGGAACTGGAGACCATTATTCTAAGTGAAGTAACTCAGGATTGGAAACCAAACATCACATGTTCTGACTCATAAGTGGGAGCTAAGTTACGAAGACACAGAGGCATAAAAGTGACACAATGGACTGGGCGCAGTGGCTCATGCCTGTAATCCCAGCACTTTGGGAGGCCAAGTTCAGGAGTTTGATTCCAGCCTGACCAACGTGGTGAAACCTCGTCTTTACTAAAAATACAAAAAAAAATTAGCTGGACGTGGAGGTGCGCCCCTGTAATCTCAGCTACTTGGGAGGCTAAGGCAGGAGAATTGTTGAACCTGGGAGGCAGAGGTTGCACTGAGCCAAGATCACACCACTGAACTCTAGCCTGGGTGACAGAGAAAAACTCTGCCTCTAAAAAAAAAAGAAAAAGAAAAAAGAATGATACAATGGACTCTGGGGACTCACAAGAAAGTGTGGAAGGGGGATGAGAAATACGAGACGACACATTGGGTACAGTGTATGCTACTTGGGTGATGAGTGCACCAGCATTGCAGAAATCACCACTAAATAACTTATCCACGTAATCAAACACCACCTGTTCTCCAAAAATCTATTTAAATAAAAAATAAAAAGTAAAAAAAAAAAATTGAATCAAAAAAATGTATTTTGTATCAATTTGCTAAGCACCTTGCAAGGAGTCGAGGATACAATAGTGAACAAAACAGACGTTATTAAGGTAACTGTATGACTATAGTAATCAAGACAGTATGGTGTTCGGGGTCGGATAGACACATATATCATTGAAATAAAATAGAAAACTTAGAAATAGGCCTGCATAAATACGTCCACTTTTTTGCACAAGCAATTCAATGGAGGAAGGGTAGACTTTTCACCAATTGGTATTGGAGAAATTGGACATTCATGGGCCAAAACAAAAGAAAAGGCCCCAGCCTAAGCCTCATACAAAAACTAACTCAAAATGAGTCATGAACATAAATGTGAAATAAAAACTGTAAAACTTTAGGACAGAGGAGCAGAACATAGGAGAAGACCTCTAGGATCTAGGCCTAGGAGAAGTTATTTGGTTTGACACCAAAATAACAGTGTATAAAAGGAAAAAAAAATAGAGGAAACTGTTCTATATCTTGACTGTATTAATGTCAATATTCTGAGTATGATATGATACTATAGTTTTGTAAGATGTTACCATTAGGAAAAACTAGGTGGGGTACACCTGAGATTATTCTGTATTATTTCTTATAACTGAATATCAATCTACAGTTATTTCAAAATAATAAATTCAATTTTTAAAAGCTAAGGGAGGTGAACATTTCAAGAAGGAGGAAATGATTAACTGGTTCAAAGGCTGCCAAGAAGTCAAGTAAGTTGAGAAACGAAAAAATGTTTGACAATATGGAGGTTATTGTGACATGAACAAGAGCTTTTTTTTTTTTTTTTTTTTTTTTGCTGTAGTAAAGGAGCTGGAAAGCAGAGAGAAGTAGACCGAGCTTGCGCCTTCTCTTGCCATGTGACGTACCTGCCCCTCCTGTGCCTTCAACCATGAGTAAAAGCTTCCTGAGGTCCTGACCAGAAGTACATGCTGGTGGCATGCTACCTGTACAGCCCGTAGAACCATTATTTTATATGTAATATATTATGTATATATTTGAGACAGAGTGTTGCTCTGTTGCCTAGGCTGGAGTGCTATCATGAGATCTCAGCTCATTGCCACTTCTCCCTCTTGGGTTTAAGTGATTCTCCTGCCTCAGCCTCCCGAGTAGCTGGGATTATAGGAGTCCACCAGCACGCCCAACTAACTTTCTACTTTTAGTAGAGACAGGATTTCACCATGTTGGCCAGGCTAGTTTTGAACCCTTGACTTCAAGTGATCTGCCCGCCTTGGCCTCCCAAAGTGCTGGGATACAGAGGTGAGCCACTTCACCTGGCTAGAACCATTATTTTAATGGTAATGTAAGTTCCATTAATAAAGTTGATTCCAACATTCATGGTGTTTAAACCTGAACTTTTAAGTTAAGATGGTGGATAAGAGGCTTTTAGTGTGCCTCAGTCACTTGGAAATAGCAAAATAGTGTGTAAAGATAAACTCTGTGAGCTTTAATTCAAGAAGGAAAATGGGAATCCCCTGGAATCAGGAGGGACACCCCAGATCCCAGGGAGAAGGACATGGGCAAATAGCCCCCATGATGTTGTCCAGCTGATAAGAGCCTGGGACAAGGGATCTGCTACAGCTGCAATTTCTCTTTGGTGATGAGACTTGCTGCCAGGGCTGCCTTCACATCCTGGAACTGGTGTGCATGTACCATTGCTGAGTTCCCTCACCTGCTCCCCTGAGATGGTGGGGCAGTGGAGCCCTCTGTGCTCCACCCCAAAGCAGAAACTCCAGGCATTTAGAGCACCTTCTCACATGGACTGGCAGCCTCCATTGCCCCATAGCTCTTGGGTATAGGTTGTGGTACAATGGGGCCCTCTCTGCTCCATGTCCAGGTAGAGTTCCATATACTCTACTCAAAGCTTCTGCTTGCTCAAATTAACAGCCTGAGTCCCTTCACCCTTCCTGTGCAGAGATCCAGGTGCAGAGGGCCCTCTCTGCTTCATGCCCAGGCAGATCTCCAGGCATGCAGAGCACCTGCTTGCCTGGTTCAGCAGCCTGACACCCCACTCCTCCTATGCAGAGATCATGGTGCAGGGGGGCCCCTCTCCACTTCACACCCAGGAAGATCACCAGGTATTAGGAGCACCCATTTCCTGTGGTCAACAGTCTGAGTTGCTCACCCTTGCTGTCCAGAGATTGTACTCCACACCAAGGCATATATCTCCAGGAATCTGGAGCACCCACTCTCTTGGATTAGGAGTTTAAGCCATCTCCTCTCCTTGTGCAGAGAACTTGTGACGTAGGCGGTTTCCCAGCTCCGTGCTAAGGCACACCTCTGGGCATTTGGTAACTGCTGATTGGATTCTCCCTTGGTGCTGGAGCTTGTGCCTGCCATCAGGGGGACCTGCAGGTGGGCCTGCTTGGCCTGGCTCTGGCCTTCTTGCCCCCTGCCAATCCGGGGCTGAACAGGAAGCTCAGATAACTGTATACTCCATGAATCAGCCCATTGCCTGAAGCAATATACAGCTTCTCCCAGTAACAAAGATGAAGTATATACCCAGCCGCATTGACTGCCGCTGGCTCTTACCTATAAGCGCCATCTACTGGCTTGCAGGTCAAACTACACAACCCAATATAAAACGTGCTTACAGAAGTGCACAGCGCTGTAAGACCAAAGCCAAAGACCCTACCCACCGGTCACACACCCTAGAAAAAGGAAGAAAGGGAAAGAGAAAGAAAAAAATACATATAATAATATATTAAGGAAATAGACAAAAAATCCTACCTGTAAAAAAATAATTACAAAAATTAGAAAGTGTTAGTGTCTCCAGAAGAGAAGAAACCATTGCAAGAATTCTGACACCATGAAAAACCTGAATGTAGCGAAACTACCAAAGAATCACACTAGCACTCCAGCAATGGTTGCTAATCAAAATGGAAACCCAGAAATAATAAAGAATTCAAAGCATGGATCGCAAGAAAGCTCAGTGAGATCCAAGATGAGACTGAAAATCAACACAAAGAAAATTCTAAAGCAATTCAGAAAATAGAAGATATAAACATCTTTAAAATAAATCAATCAAAGCTTCTGGAATAGCAAAACTCACTTAAGGAATTTCTAAATGCAATAGAAAGTTTTGTCAATAAATTAGACCAAGCAGAAGAAATAATCTCAGACCTTGAAGATCAGTCTTTTCAGCTAACCCAGTCAGACAAAAATAATGAAAAAAGAATTTAAAAATAAAGTCTTATTAGAAATATAGGATTATTTAAAGTGGCCAAAACTATGAATTGTTGGCTTTTTTGAGAGAGATGGAGAAAAAAGTAAACAACCTGGAAAATATATCTGAGAGAATGAGTCAAGAAAAATTCTTAAATCTTGTTAGAGAAGTAGACATCCAGATATAAGAAATTCAGAGAACACCTGTGAGATACTCTACAAAATGATCATCACCAAGGCATATAGTCACCAGACTTTTCAAGGTCAACACTAAAGAAAAAATAATCTTAAAGGCAGCTAGAGAAAAGGGTCAGCTCATATACAAAGGGAACCCCATAAAGCAAATGGTGGACTTCTCAGTAGAAACCTTATAAGGCAGGAGAGATTGAGGGCTTATTTTAGCCTTCTTAAAGTAAAGAAATTCAACCAAGAATTTCATATCCTGCCACGCTAAGCTTCACAAGCAAAGGAGAAATAAAATCTTTCCAGTCCAGTAAGTACTAAGGCAATTTGCTACCACTAGAACCGCCATACAAAGGATCCTTAAGTAAGTTCTAAACGTGGAAATGAAATAATGATACCTGCTACCAAAAAACACAGTTAAGTACGTAGCCCACAGACCCTATAAAGCAACCATGCAATAAAAACTGCAAAGAAACCAGCTAACGACTTCACACTGGGATTAAAACCTCACATATTAATGTTGACCTTGAATGTAAATGGTTTAAATGCCCCCATTTAAAAGGCACAGAAAGGCAAGTCGGATTTTTAAAAAGATCCATCCATGTTCTCTCTTCAAGACATTCATTTCACACTTACTGATGCTCATAGGCTCAAAGTAAAGGGTTGGAGAAAGATCTATCACACAAAAGGAAAATAAGCAAGACTAGGGGTCACTATTCTCACATCATATAAAAGAGACTTTAGGCCGAGCATGGTGGCTCACACCTGTAATCTCAGCACTTGGAGAAGCCAAGTCAGGTGGATCATGAGGCCAGGAGATCAAGACCATCCTGGTCAACATGGTGAAACCATGTCTCTACTAAAAAATACAAAAGAATTAGCCGGGTGTGGTGGCATGCTCCTGTAGTCCCAGTTACTCAGGAGGCTGAGGCAGGAGAAATTGCTTGAACCCAGGAAGGAGGTAGAGGTTGCAGTGAGCCGAGGTCACGCCACTGCACTCCAGCCTGGGTGACAGAACAAGACTCTGTCTCAGAAAGAGAGAGAGAGAGAGAGAGAGAGAGAGAGAGAGAGAGAGAGAGAGAAAGAAAGACTTTAAATCGACAACAGCAAAAAAGGACAAAGAAAGGCATTACATAATGTCAAAGCATTCAATTCAACAAGAAGACTTAATTATCCTAAATATATATGCACACCAATATTGGAAAACCCAGATTCATCAAACAAGTGCTTCTAGATCTACAAAAAACTTAAATAGTCACACAATTATAGTGGATGACTTCAGCACCCCACTGACAGCATTAGACAGGTCATCAAGGCAGAAAACTAACAAAGAAATTCTGGACTTGAGAATTTAAGCCAAAAATGACACTTGACCAGTTGAATCTAATAGATATCTACAGAATACCCCATCGATTAACTGCATAGAATATACATTCTTCTCATCTGCATACTAAACATACTCTAAGAAAGACCACATGCTTGGCCATAAAGCAAATTTCAATAAATTAAAAAAAAAATCAAACCCGTACCAACTATACACTTGGAATACAGTGGAATAAAAACAGAAATCAATACCAAAAAGATCTCTCAAAACTGTACAATCACATGGAAATTAAACAATTTGCTCCTGAATGACTTTCAGGTAAACAATTAAATTAAGGCAGAAATTTTAAAAATTTTGGAAATAAATGAAAACAGAAACACAACATACCAAAATCTCTAGGAGACAGCAAAAGCAGTGTTAAGACGAAAGTTCATAGCATTAATTGCCTACCTCAAAAAGTTAGAATAATCTTAAATTAATGATGCAACATTACACTGAAAGGAATTAGAAAAACAAGAACAAACTAACTCGAAATCTAGCAGAAGAAAATAAATCAAAGAAAAAGTGAGAAAAATTGAGACCAAAATTTCATGAAAAGCATTAAATAACAAATCAAGAGTTTATTTGAAAGGATAAACAGGATTGAAAGAATGCTAGCTACACTGACAAAGAAAAAAGCACAATTATAAATGACAAAGGTGATATTTTAACTGATCCCAGAAATACAAAAGGTCCTCAGAGGTTATTATGAACACCTCTATGCACACAAACTAGAAAATCTAGACGAAATTCCTGAAAACACACAACCTGGAAAAACTAAATCAGGAAGAAGTGGGAACTCTGTTTCATCACCACCAGACCTGCTCTACAAGAACTCCTGAAAGAGGCTCTACACATATAAAGGAACAACCAGTACCAGCCACTCCAAAAACATACCAAATGGTAAAGAGCATCAACACAATCAAGAATCTGCATCAACTAACAAACAAAACAGCCAGGTAGCATCAAAATGACACTATCAAATTCACACATAACAATACTGTCCCTAAATGTCAATGGACTAAATGCCCCAATCAAAAGACACAGACTGGCAAATTGGATAAAAAGCCAAAACCCATCAGTGTGCTGTATCCAGGAAACCCATCTTACATGCAAGGATACACAAAGGCTCAAAATAAAGGGATGGAGGCAGATCTACCAAGCAAATGGAGAGCAAAAAAAAAAGCAGGAGTTGCAATTCTCATCTCTGATAAAATAGCCTTTAAAGCAACAAAGATCAAAAGAGAC